CTGCCATGGGATGGGAAGAGGGGGCTGGCAACGACCAGGCACGGTGAAAGGGCAAAGCTGGGGAAAAGCGAGAGGGGCAACACAGCCACGGCTTTATCCACACCGGGACAAGGAACAAAGACACCGAATGTGTGATTGCCCCGAGGCGGCGGAGCCCCAGCCCGGGAGCTGAGGGGTTATCCCCGGCAGGAAACAAAAGGGAAGCCCTTTCCCGGCTCCGGACCGTGTCCCGGGCCCGCCCCGCGCTGCCGCCACCGCGGGCAGGACCCGCCACTGTGCCCGGGCCCGCCCCGGGAGCGGCCGTTGTCACCCCGCGGGCCCGGCCCGGCGCCGGCACGGGGAACACGGCGGGAACGGGGCGGGAAGGAAGCGCTGAGGCGCACCCGGCCCGGCGACACGGCCCGGGGCGGGTGACAGGGGCGGGCGGCGCTCGGCGCCCCGGGCCCGGCGCGGCCGCTCCGCGCTCGGGCGGCGCCGCCACACAAAGGGAGGCAGCGGCCTTCAAGCTCCGGCCCGCGCCCCGCCCGCGCCGCTCACCCCGCCGGCTCCGCTCCGCCTCCCGCAGCCGCGGCCGACCCGGGGTGGGTGCGCGGGGTCCGCCCGGCACGGCCCGTCCCGTCCCGCCGGTACCGCCCGTCCCGACACCGCCGGTGCCGCCGCCGCCGCTGTCGCAAAGCGCGCCCGGCCGCCCAACGCGCCGAGCCCGCGCGACACCCCGGCGGGGCAGCGCCGGCGCGCTTTACGGCAGCGCCCGCCGGCGGGAGCACGTGGCGGCGCCATGAAGCGACCGAGTGAGCGCCGGGAGCGGCTCCGGGACGGGAGGGGCGGGGACGGGACAGAATGGGCCTGGATGGGCGCGGGAGGCGTCCCAGCACCGGGGGGTGGCGGCCGCCCGTGGCCAAGCGAGCGGCGGCGATCGAGGGGGCGGGAATCGGGGACCGGGGGAGCGGTGGCGGGAGCTCGGTGGCCGGGATGCGCGTGTCGGTGGACGGCGCTGACGGGCGCGGTGCCTTGCAGAGCTGCGGAAGGCGAGCAAGAGGCTGAGCTGCCACAAGCGCTACAAGATCCAGAAGAAGGTGAGGCCCGGCCCCGGTGCCGCGTTTGGCCGTCCCGGGGCCGCCGCGCTGCGGTTCCAGGCCTTGGGCTGAGGAGGTTTCTTGTGCCCGCTTCAGATCAGAGAACACCACCGGAAAGTCCGGAAAGAGGCCAAGAAACGCGGACACAAAAAACCCAAGAAGGATCCCGGAATTCCCAGTGCGGCGCCGTTTAAGGAGGAGCTTCTGCGGGAAGCGGAGCAGAGAAAGCAGAGGGTAAAACACAGTTTGTGGTAAAGAGAACAAAAACCGAGAGCGTCCCTCTCTTTGAGGAAGCTTTGTGTGCATAAGTGAGCACTCAGAGGAACAGTCATGGTGGATGGTCCCAGCAGACTCGTGCTTTGGAAAAATGATGTATTTATTTCCAACGTTGTACAGTATGCAACGCTGGAAATATGAGCAAATCATAATGATTTGCTCTTTTATTTTTAACTTTTGTTTCCTCACTGTGCACGGGAACACGCTGGAAGGGTCATTTTTAATGCAGTCAGAATTCCTTGTGGTGCTGGGATACAGAAATGTCCCATTAGAGTGCTGGGAGTTAAATCATGGCATTATGGGATTACACAGAAAATCGGGATCTGCTGTCTGCAGGGTGGACTAATGTGACATTTGTCAGCTGTAGGGGAGGCTGCAGAGCTGCTCTTTTGGGATCAAGCTAATGCATGGCTGCCTCTGGGTAGGATGCAAAAAAAAAAGAGTTCCCAGAGTCCTGGATAGCCAGAACTTCTAACTGAGCTGGCTCAGGAGCTTGGGTGAGCAATGGGAAGAAAGAACATTCTTCCTTACCACTTTCAAAGATGTCTTATCTGGCCTGGGGTTTTGTTTGCAATCAGCTTGAAGAACTGAAACAAAAGCAGAAGCTCAACAGACAGAAAGAACATGAAAAGAAGAGGAAACTGGAAGCTAAAAAGAATGCAGCCACAATCAAGGAGAAAGCAGAGGGACAGGTAGGGGTCCTGTCCTCTATGATTTTGATTTCTTGAACCTGTAGAAGTCATTCTGAAACTGAACCTTCTTAAGCAGCATGTTACAATTTCATGCTGAATGTACATACAAATATTAGGCACTAATTCTCATTTAAATAATTTCCTTTTGTTTTTATTGCTTTAGGAATCCTCTGGCAAATCTAAAGGAAGGACTAAAAAACCGCTGAATAAAAATTCTAAGAAATCATTCTGCAGGGAACTCACGAAGGTGAAATGCTTTAACTATTTTTATATCACTATGTGAGCGTCAGCAATAAGACCACATGTTATTTTCCTTTTTTTGTATTACTGTTTAGAACACAAAGTTTGTCTGTGAGAAACTAGAACACTAAATAAGGGATTTTACAACAGAAAATATTAACAACTATTTTTCTAAGCCACAGCTATACCAGAATTGTCATCTGGTCTGTAATGTCGTGTTTAAGTCTTGTCTTTTTTCTGACCCAGGTACTTGAGGCCTCAGATGTGGTTCTGGAGGTTTTGGATGCCAGAGATCCAATGGGCTGCAGGTGTCCTCAGCTGGAGCAAGCTGTCACTTCTTCTGGAGGGAACAAAAAGCTGCTCTTGGTTCTGAACAAAATTGGTAAGAAACACAGGTTTTCTCACAGTGTTACTGGCACTGTGGTTCTTTGGTAGGTGAGCTATGAAGATTTTAAAGGAATCTGACATTTCATTGAAGACATGAGATCCAACTCTGAGCTCACTAAAAAGGCTGCAAATTACCAAGTACCAGGAGCTAAGTAAAGAAAATAAAATACCAAGAGCAACAACAAGAGCAAAGGGAACTTTGTGGTAAAGTAGCCTTTGCAAGGACTGTGGGGTAACCCTTCACAGAAGATCATTCTGTACATACAAAGTCTTCTAGCAAGACCCCAGCATTAAAAACCTAATACAGAGGCCAGAAATGTAATTGTGATGTGCTCTGCTAAGGCAGAGACCCTGTGGGCCTTTGGGGAGTGCACTCAGTCCTTTATATTAGAGTTCTCAGGGTATTTGTCATGATAAGGTCAATTTAAGGAGTGAAAGAACTGCTCTTCTTTCCAGATTTAGTGCCAAAGGACAACGTAGAGAAATGGTTGAATTATTTGAAGAAAGAGTTTCCAACTGTTGCTTTTAAGTCAGCAACAATGATGAAGGACAAGACTATGGTAAGAGCACTGCAGGCTGTCCCATGACCCAAAAGAGGTCATGTGTTTGCAGTCATACATGTTGAAACATCTTTAAAATTCCTTTTCCCCTGGTTTGATTGCACTTCTGGGACTGATGGATGTGCCTTTACACTTTGACTGAGCTTTGCAGTACAGTGGGGGAATTCTTACCACTGCAATTACAGCAGATTAATAAATCTGTGTCCGTATTTTATCTTCCTTAATAGCTCCTGACCATGGGGTTTTTTTGCCTTTGACTCCTGTAGCAGGAACAGGTGACAAAAAGACATGCACGTGTTGATTTCTCAGAAACCTCTCAGTATTTTGGAAGCAAATGCCTTTTGAAGCTTCTCCAAGGGTATGGCAAGACCCAAGACAGAGCCATTCAGGTTGGGGTGGTAGGTAAGTGTTTGGAGAAACAGGAGGAATTTTCTTCTCCCATAAAGCTTTGGGATCCTGTATTACTGGACTGAGTAAAACTGCTAACACCTGGTTTGCTAGTGAGCTTTCCAGGCTTTGTTCTTTGATCCAAGGCTCCCAGTGTTGTAGTGCTTCAGCTGCCAGAGATCCATGGTGCACTTCCACAGGGATCTGTAGGAGCCCAAGGAAGGCAGGATATGTGCTCCACTGGCACTGCCTGCCTCATGCCTGACAAAAATCCCATGGAATGCAGCACTACAAATCCTGCAAGTGTGAGAAATGAGGATACATTCTTTGTCTTATTTCTGTGAAGACTTCAGATCCAACTCTGATCTCACACTGATGCTTACCTTAGCAAAGATAACTGGTAGAAGCTGTTTTGATGGGTGTTAAAAAGCTGTTTTCTTATTTAACTTACAAGGATTTATGTGATTTTTCCTCAGGTTTCCCTAACGTGGGAAAGAGCAGTATAATCAACAGTCTCAAAGGAAAACGTGCTTGTAATGTTGGCCTGACAAGAGGTGTTACCAAGTAAGCTCAGCCTGATCAAAGCTGTTCCTTTCCTTGTTTGTTGTGTTTCAGTTACCATGAGTTTGTGTTTCAGTCCATTAGGGGCAAAGCACACCAGTGTGCAGCTTTAAATGCACATTAAAATCTGCAAGATGAAAGGTATTGCTATGTGTGATGCAAGCTCTCTCCTTGTGTATCCCTTATCTACACAAGGGATAAACTTATGTATAAGCTTGATGTTTTGTTTGTTTAAATATGTATCCTACACAAAGCACATGATGACAAAACATTGAAACTGACTGTATGAAGTACATTCAATCCAACACTGAGCTTTGTGTCTTGCATCCCTCACCATCACCAGTCCTTCACTGATTATCTGCTCACAGTGCATTTTCCTCTGAACAGGTCCATGCAAGCTGTGCACCTTGATAAGCAGACAAAGATGCTGGACAGTCCAAGTATAATTGCAGATCCTTCTAACAGTGCCCTTGCTCTGGCCTTGAGAAGTGTCATAGACCCTGAAGGATCAGACTCAGCAGTTGTGCTTGAAGGAGTAAATGCCATAATAAATCACTGCAGTAAGCAGCAGGTGAGCTCCATCTTTTTTCTGTGTCTCTCACTGCATCAGACTTCTCTGTAGGTTTCTTAGGCCCAGTAACGAAAGTTCATTTTGCTGTAGCTAATGCTGATAGTTTTTGAACTGCTTTCCTAAGCATTCAAAGTGGGAATGCCAAGGGTGATCCTTCATCCTTACAAACAGAAGGCACAACAGCATGCCACAATCCTGACAGCCAGAGTAAAGAGCATTGCTTTTAAGACCTCATCACCACACAGAGAGTGAAAAATGATGATACTGCTTGTATGCTGCCTAGGTTACAGTGAAGACCTCAGATCCAACTCTGATTTCACTCTTGTTTCAAGCAAATTAACCTAAGCCAAATTGCCTTTCATTTCTTTGAGAAGAGTTTTCACAGACCAGTGTGCTGTCCTGTTGCAGCACATGTCGTGTTTGAGACAGCCACAATACAGAGTATCCCCACACAACTTCAGCAAGCTTCAGCCCACACACAGTAACACCAGACCTCTTCAGGAGGCTTCAAGCATCTGCCCTTCTTGTTCCTCAGCCCAGCCTTTTATCCCCTCCTGTTGATTCCCTGCCCCTGTGTGCCCTCTGCTCCCTTTGGTGGCTGCTCAGTGCCCCTGGGCACTCCATGGCTCATTGGTCAGTGCTGCTCACCTGCTGCTCACAGCTGTGCCCACTGGGGATAATGCTGGGCCAGCCCCACTCCCAATCACCACAAACTGTGCACCTACACTGTGTCTGCACACCCACGAGTCTGCCTGAATGGCAGATGAGTTTGTTGATGAAGTAGGCATTTTACTTTCTAATGTTTACTCCCACGTGTGTGAGAAAAACAGCTTTTCTCTTACTCTGTCCTCACTTTTATCCAACTTTATTTGCTCTTTTATACTCCTAAAACTATGAGAAGGATGAGCATCTCTTTCTGAATGTGCCATTTTCTTTTGCCCTAGGTAATGATGCACTACAATATCCCAGATTTCAGGGACCCTGAAGAGTTTTTATCTTTACTGGCTCAGAAGAGGGGCATGCTGAAAAAGGGAGGTGTTCCTGACATAGAAAATATGGCTAAATTAGTGCTTTGTGACTGGACAGGGTATGTATGCTGTGAACTTTGCTCTCTGCTGCTCACCTTTTTCTCACTGTTAATCCAGCACAGCAGAAGCACTGAGTCCAGCAAAGTACTTAAAAAGGAGAGGCTGCTTTTTTCCCTTCCTTTCTCACATTTCACTTGGGTAAAGAGCTGGATTGTCCATCAGATTTAGAGGATGCCATCCACAGATAATTTTCTGAAGTAGTGAAGGTTACACAAGAAGAGTCAAAGCCTGTTGCACATTACTCCACAGCCAGTGTCTGTAATGGAAATGTGCTTTCCTCTCCATACCAAGTCTATGTTATCGTCTTCTGGACAGGAAAGGATATGGCAAACTTTCTGTGGAAATTCAGGGTGGTTCCTATATTCTGAGAGTAGGAAGAAATGTAACTCAGATTCAGTAATTGACTGTGATTATCTCCCTTGCTGAAGTGACTCAGCTGCTGTTACAGGCAGGTGATTTGTGGTGACAAAATGCCATTGCATTTTCCTCTCAGGAGTGGGCTATCCCTTTAATACTGTTGACAACTTCAGAGTCAGATTTTAATATCTATTGAACTGCTGTTAAATAGTTATTAGTTTGAGAGCTTTGTGCTCTGGGTTTTATTTTTAAATACAGTGATTTAATAGTTGTTTTTTAATGCTGATTTTTATTTTCTCAGAGCCAGAATAAAGTACTACTCACAACCTCCAGGATCTCAGAAGCCACCACCCTATCTTACAGAACAAAAAATAGCTGAAATGCAGGAAGGCTTTAATTTAAATAACCTAGAACAAGAAAACAGCAACACTGTTCAAGGTAGGACTGTTCCTGTAATAGACTACCATTAACCATAGAGTCACAGATTGGCCTGGCTTGAAAGGGGCCTTGAAGTCCATCTTGTTCCAAACCCCCAGCTGTGGGCAGGGCCACCTTTCACTCTGACCAGATTAGTCAGAGCCCCCTCCAGCTTGGCCTTGAACATTTCTGGGAACTCTGTGCCAGAACCTCACCATCCTCACAGGAAAGAATTTTTTCCTGCTATCTAAACTAAACTCACTTAGGTAAACTTACCTATACTCAAATCCAGGTTTTCCAGCTCTTAGCAGTTTTCTGTAAATGCCTCAGGGAAAGCTTTTCTCAGAGAATTTCCTTGTCTTGATGGCAGAACCCTGTGTGGGAGCCCTGTCTGGCAGGGAGGGGACAGAACTGCAGTGTCCCCACTTGGGGGCTGGGCATTACCTCTGTGCTGAGTGACAGGGACTGAACAGACACTTGCTGTGTTTTCTGCAGCTTTAAAGCACCCCAGTCCAGCAAGCAGCATTGCTTTTCAGTCAGCTGGAATGACAAATGGGACAATAGAGGAAAATAAAGTGATAGAGGAAGGATCAAACTGGAAAAACATGGAAACAAGCAAGGAGGAGGAAGAAGAGGAAGAAGATGAAGAAGAGGAGGAAGGGGAATTCACAGAAAGTGATGATGATGATGAAGATGATATGGAAGAAGATGATGATGATGATGATGATGTCAAAGAGGTAAATGAGGGTTTCTGTAAGATTGGCCTTTTCTCCTGAATTAAGGAAACAACATTGTTCCGAGTCACTTGGCTCAGCTATACAGGGGGCCATCCACACTTTCCCCAGGCTCTGTTAGGTTTCATTTGCATAGGAAATTGCATTAATGATGTTGAAATAATGTCTGACCTCTGACTTGTAGGAAAGCCAAGTTCAGGTCACCAGAAGAGCAAAGCCTGGAAAACACCAAACAAATCCTACAAATCCCAAGGAGCAGAGGGCAGGTGTGTATTCAGAACCCTGGCTCAGGGATGGGCTGTGGTACCTCCAGGATTTGCACTGGTTTCACTAACACACGTTTGTCTCTTCTCAGGAAATGAACGTTCCAGATCACTGTCCTTCAGCTTAGACAAACCAGCAGATGAGGATGATGCCTATGATTTTAATACAGACTATGTGTAACAAACCAGGTGGGAAGCACTGTCTGGAGAGCTGCTGCTGGCTTAAAGAGCAGTCAGGAACACTGGGCTTGCAGCTCAAGCTGGAGGATGCTGCAGAGCCAGAGCTGCTGCACAGACTCAGCTGTTGCTGGGTCAGATAATGTACATAATAGTGCATCTCCCTGGATAGTTCCAGATTTTATACAGGTCTAGGAAACTGTTATTCAGCTTTGTCATGAAGTTTATTTCCTATATTAAAGCCTATTTTAAAAATTCCTAATCGACTGGTAGTCTGTTCATTTTGCCTTATAAAGTACCTTTCGAGGATAAACCCTTTGTCTTTCAAAGATAACTGATAAATGTTTCATTCTAGCCACGTTCAAACAACAAATCTGTTTTCCTAGAGGATTACAAACACTTTACCCTTAGAGCATGACTTTAGACAGTGACTTTTCAGTACATTTTTGCAAAACATCTCCTGTGCATCTGTTTTCTTCCTAAAACTGAAAAGTATGATTTCTGTGTTCTTTGATAAATAGGTGTGTTTTCCCTCAATGTCTGCTGAGGCATAGATTCTTATGGGCAGTTTAAAAAGATGTCAGGTGCATACACAAACAGGCAGTTCCTTTAAGGCTGCTAAAACCCAGCTTGCTCAGCTGAATTGCATTGGTGTCAGCTAATCAAAGTAAAATCTTTCAAAATTGATAAGTGAATTTACTTAGTTACTCCTAACTGCTTCAAGGACAAGAATGGTTCTTGTTCTAATGGTTCGTCACAACCCAGGAAAAGAAACAATAGGTAACAAACCAGATCAGGGTATCCATGACAGAAACAGAACTACAGACAGTGACTGCAATGAGAGCAGCAGTTTGAAATCCTTTTAAAGCAGAACTAAAACCATATTCACAGTCAAGGAGTCCTTTACCTCTGCTGCCCTGTGTTTCAGACCAGGCAGGCTCAGCTGTGATGAACACAAAGCCTTTTGTCTGAACATCCTCCACCAAGGGCTCTTCACAAGCCTGAGTGCAAACCTCTGTTAAATGGAGTAGTTGGCACAGTGGCTGCAAGGATATAGCAGCTGATAATAACTATCACTCAATAATACAACTAGAAAAAACAAACCTACTTACCTTAGCACAGGTGATGGGCAGCTGGCTGCAGAGGGCACAAGCTTCTCATTTGATGAGTTCCCAGATGGGGAAAGGCACACCAGGAAAAGCTATAGCAGAGTGTAGCTCACTTGATATGAGGAACTCAACAACAACAAAATTAATCTGTAATTAATACAGCCTGGTCCCCCAAATAAGCAGTTTGTACTATTTTAGAATTAGGTTGCTTTCACAAAGACCACATCAATTCACTTTGGCTTTAATCACTTGCTACTGTGCACAAAGGAAACACTTCCTATATCAAGACTGGAATTAGATTGCCATTTACCTGAGGCTGGAGTCAGCATGTTACAATTAGCTTTATTTTTGAACAAAGTTTCATCCATAACTTTCCAAAAAAATTGGTTTAGTGTTCACTGGCAGTTAAAACCATTTTGCATAGTGAAATAATACTCAAAGGATTAATCTTTCAAAAAGGATTCAATTTTGCAGAATTCTGTAAGAAAGACTTAAAGAGAAATGGTTGGGAGGATATTTCATGCAAGGAAGGGTTGTTGAGGGAATTATTTCACAGGATAACAAAACAAAACAAACAACAAAACAAAACCCAGGCAGCTCTTAATTACAGTACATTGTTGTGCAAGATTTGCTGGTGCAAGCACCAGCTGGATTTGTATCTTGTTCTTAGAAACTTTGTTTCTGTAATTGACAAAATGATCCCCCACTAGAAGACTTGTAGTAAGGAGCAGGAGAACGCAACTGAAATGACAAAACAAAAAAGTGCTCGTTTGTGGAGATCTTCCCTTGTTTTCTGGGGTGCTGCTGGAGTAGCATCGTGTGTCACACAGGTGACAGGAGCCTCCTTTGGACCTGTGCATTTCAGAACTGCACCTGAACAAGTGCATCACCTTGTGCTCCAGAAGGCAGGGTCGGCTCTGTAATACAACTTGGCTTAAAGAAAAATATTCTGCTTGGCTCCAGAAGTTCCTGAGAAAATGTCATCATTTATTCAAATGGACTCTACTTTGCTTCATAGGCCTCCGAGTGCCTGCGGATCAGGTTGAACTTGCCTGCAGGGTCAGGGAGATACCACTTCTCCCAGACTTCAGCATAGGAAGCTGTTCTTCCCCAGGGTTTGAAATGTCCATTCCAGTGGAGCAGCTTGGCAGCTTCCACAAACTGAGGAGAGTACCTTTTCCC